TGAAAAGAGGTTTTGTGTTTGTTCCAAACAGATTGGCAAATTAGAAGATTAATTAGCATAATGAACAAAAATCCTCCACTACTTTAATTTCGTCCATGGCGAATGGCTTTGACGATTCCAACAGTCCTGCGGAAACCATCTTCCCTTCAGCGACTCCCGTCGCTTTCGAGTAGAAGGCCGTCAACCAAGAGTTAGGAAGAGGAGATAAGGTAGTAGCGCTTTTTTAATGAAACTTCTAATTAGGCTCCTAATTAGCAAAACAGTTTACAATGAACGCTAACCTTTATTTGATCATCCGGGAAGTGCAAAATTCAAAATTTGAACGAAATCGGTTATTTCTTTGAAAAGTTACGTATTTTTGTGCATTTTTCCGGCTCAATTTCTCTAATTAAGAAAAATGCACTAAATATTCGTATCTCCGGAACCAATCATGCGATTGGCTCCAAATTTAGAAATTTACAACCGATGGATGGTCATATGAAGGATGCTCTTTGTTCTAGATGGATTAGCAAATTAGATGATTAATTAGCATAATGAATAAAAAAGCTCAACTACGCTAATTTCATCCCCGGCGAATGGCCTTGACGATTCCAACAGTCGAGCGGATACCATCTCCCCCCCCGACACCCGTCGCTTTCCGAGTGCAAGGCCCTCAACCACGAGTTAGGAAGGGGAGATAAACGTAGTAGCGCTTTTTTAATGAACCTGCTAATTAGGCTCCTAATTAGCAAAACAGTTTACAATCAACGCCAATTTTCATTTCAGCATCCGGGAAGTGCAAAATTCAAAATTTGAATGAAATCCGTTAATTCTTTAAAAAGTTACGTATTTTTGTGCATTTTTCCGCTCAATTTCTGTAATTAAGAAAAATTCAGTAAAATTTTGTATCTCGGGAACCAATCATGCGATCGGCTCCAAATTTAGAAATTTACAACTGATAGATGGTCAGATGAAAGATGCTCTTTGTTCTAGATTGATTGGAAAATTAGATCATTAATTAGGATAATGAATAAAAAAGCGCCACTACGCTAATTTCATTCCCGGCGAATGGCCTTGACGATTCCAACAGTCGAGCGGATACCATTTCCCCCCCTCCCGACACCTGTCGCTTTCCGAGTCGAAGGCCCTCAACCAAGAGTTAGGAAGGGGTGATAGAGGTAGTAGCGCTTTTTTAATGAACCTACTAATTAGGCTCCTAATTAGCAAAACAGTTTACAATCAACGCTAACGTTCATTTGAGCATCCGGGAAGTGCAAAATTGAAAATTTGAAAAAAATCCGTCTGTTAGATCGGGAGATACGTATTTTTTGTGCTTTTTTCCGACTCATTTAGTTTAATTAAGGAAAATTCGTAATTTGGGAACCAATCATCCAATTTTCTTGAAATTTCGAAATTTTCAGGTGTTCAGCGGTTTTACCCGGTATCCGCGCGCTGTATTCACGTATGCATCCAAATTTTATATACAGTACCCCGGAATTCGAAAGTAGGACCGAAATACCAGTGTTCAGCGATTTCGTGGAGCGGGCTGCGCCCGCTTTATACACATAAGCATGGAGAGGATACTGCATAAACGATACACATGAGTTAAAGCAAGAAAACACCCGGGGAGCCAGCTCGTTCGCCGACACCGAAAGTTGGATCGAACTACCAGCGTTAAGAGGTTTTGAGCAGGCTGCGCCCACTTTTATCACATATGCATCCAGAAATCACTTTATACACTATACACATGCGGAAAATCAGGAAAACACCCATGCAGCCAGCCCGCTCGCAGAGATTCGAATGTTTGACCGAACTACCAGTGTTCAGCGGTTTTACCCGGTATCCGCGCGCTGTATTCACGTATGCGACCAAATTTTATGTACAGTACCCCGGAATTCGAAAGTTGGACCGAACTACCAGTGTTCTGTAGTTTTGCGCGGGCTGCTCCCGCTTTATTCAAGTATGCATGCAGAAGATACCGCATACACGTTACACATGCGAAAAATCCCGAAAACACACATTGAGCCAACACGGTCGCTTGGATTCGAAAGTTGGACCGAACTACCAGTAATCAGAGGTTTTGAGCGAATTTCGGCCGCTTTATTCACTTATGCATCCAGAAGATGCTGCGTACACGAGGCACATGCGTAAAATCACGCAAACACCCCCATGGACCCAGCCCGTTCGCCGGGATTCGAAATTAGGACCGAACTACCAGAGTTCAGCTTTATTCATTTATGCATCCAGAAGACACTGCATACACAACAGATATGCGTAAAATCACAAAAAACATGAGTGTAGCCTGCCTGCTCACCGGGATTCGAAAGTTACCGTATACCATCTCAAAGGAGCAAAGAAAAATCTTTAATCTAAAAAAAAAAAAAAAAAAAAAGTGTGAATTTAATTTTTATTGGTGCGAACTTATTTAAAATATCATTTGCATTAAAAGATAATATCTAAATTAAGTGCACGTATCTAATAACATAAAAAAATATATTATTCCAAAAAATCAAATTTATTATTAAAAAAATAACAACATATTTTTAAAAAATAGCTTTTTCAGATTTTTTAATTAATATCCCAGCTGATTAAAGTTGTACAACTTCAAGAACGTCATCATTTAAATTTAATGTAATATAATAACTTTTATTCAATATCAATAAAAGAATTAACGTGACAATCATCCTAACCTGAAATTAAAAAAAAATTGTGAAAAGCAGCTGTTTATTTAAAATGCCTACATTAACGAAATATTTTTAAAATACAGTTAGGTAACATGCAATCGCGTGCTTTATTCAACTTTAGAATATAACCTTGATTTGTATCTGCGGCGATTCAAGAAACTGTTGCAATCGGAAAAAATGAGCCCGAAAATTAGCGTTTTCACAGTTTTTAATTAATATCTCAGCTGATTAACGTCCTACGAAGATGAGAATGGTATCATTGGATTCGTAGAATTTTTTGGAATCCGCAGACACCTGCCTCGAATTCCAACTCAGCGCCGTTCCATAGATATTTAAGAAAAAAGAAATTGACACGTGACCTTTCGCCAGCACAAATCTCGAGCGGAAGCAATTGTCATCCCCCCGGCGCTTTCGAAAAAGCAATTTTATCTCAGCTAATTCCGAGACGGTTGCCACTCCGAAAAATGAAATAACGTTTTCGCAGTTTTTAATTAATAACTCCGCCGATTATTGTCGTACGAAGATGGGACCGGTATCGATGGATTCGTTGATTTTTTTCGAATACGGGGATATGCGTTTCGAATCGCAACTCGGAGCCGTTCCGCAGATATTCGAGAAAAAACGAATTTGGCACTCGGCCAAATCCCTAAAATAGGGGAAACCCGTGAAAGAAAGTGCAAAACGTAGGGAAACGTAGGGGTTTTTAATTAATATCTCGGCTAATTAAAGTCGCACGAAGATGCCGATGGTCAATCCGGCGAGCCACGGGCATTCTGAATCCAACGGTACCTTCCGCTAAGCTCTGCACCCAGCCGTTCCCGAGGAGATGATGTTACAAACACACAAACAGACAGAGGCACACAGATTTTAATAGTATAGATAGTGTACTTAAAATATAAATATTACAGTTAATGCAATGAATTAGTTGCTATTAGTAATATCTGGTTTATGATTAATAATAATAATCAAATAAACCGATTAAAGTGAATAAACTATTATAATTTATTACTTAACTGCAAATACAATTCAACTGTCTGTTACCAATGATTTTCAACAGTTAATGACAATTGTAATAATTTTCTACGCTTTCAGTGTGAGATTTTTCATAATGCATACATTTTTATTTCCTGCGTTGGCGCCTCACTATAGTGCAAGCTTCTGACAGCTGTGCGAGCGTGCAAGTTGGTTTTTATTTGATGACGAATGTTAGGTAAAATGAATTTATTGTATTTATTTCATATGTTGCGCTCACATGTTTTAAGTCATTTACGAATGCTTGCGATTTAACAGAACTGATTGTTCTATGTGCTGCGCAGTCTAAATTTGATGTTATTTTCGTTGTCAGTTCATAGCGTATACATAACTGTTTTGCTAAGTTCACAAATTTTACTCTATTTGTTACCGCAATGAAGGATGACTTCTAAATCAAGAAGACACTTTTTGACGATTACTTGGACATTAAAAAAGAAAATGACGGGAAGAAATAAAAGGATGTGTAGTGCCCTCCCTCCAAAAAAAGATAATGAAAGTAAAGAAAGTACTTTTAGCAAATCGCCGGAAGATTATATCAATGACTAGCAAGATATGGTATTGTACGAGCTGGTAGCGTTGAAAAACGCATCTTTCCATGTAAAAATGGAAAAGAACCAATTACAAACAAGTTTACACATTTTGAGCATTATTTCGATAAAAAAGAATAGAAATGAGAGCTATACCAACTAAAATGCAGAATTATAAGGCTACTGTTAATTTAAGTTATAATTTAACCTTACGTTTTTTAACTTACCTATATCATTATATATTTTTTCTATTTCACCTCATATTATATAAATATGTATATAACTTATTAAGTTATAAAATATAATAAAATTACATCTTAATGTAATTATATCCTCAAACTCACGGTCTGTTTATGAAAGCAAGCATTGTTCAGAATTAAAAAGTAAATTCAAATATATCTTTTCCCCATTTTGCTGATAAAGCTTACATTTATCATATTTTATTTTATTTTTTGTTTATTTAATGTTTTTCATCGTTAATTATAATTTTTTCTTTCTTATTTACTTAATGTTTCAGGTTGTTCCTTTTCATTATAATTTATTTTTAATTCCTCCTTTTATTGTGTATTTATTCATTGATTAATCAATTTATTTACATATATTTTTACATTTAGCAATTTGTTACAGGCTTTTTAAGTATTGTGTTTTCTATTCAGTACTAATTGCTGTATGTGTCTCCTCTTTTTACAGTGTGTAAGCAAATAAGAGGAATTGAACTCAGCCTTCGTGTAACTGATATACTAATTCAGCACTTTTTTTTTTCTTCTTTTTAGCTGCTCCTAAGATCGTTGACATGAAAGTGGAGATGAATTTCTATTGGTGCATTTACTATCAGGTAACGGGCTTCCCGAAACCTAACAGGACATGGTACTTCAATCACGAACCACTCACAGCTGGTTATATTAAAAAAAATAAAATGATCGATGATCGAGAGCATGCCAGGACTTCGAGGAATACGTATTTGGCTGAAGGTAAGAGAAAAATGTTTCCTCTTTTATTTTACTTCTTAATTATTATTTTTTATTTTATTTTTACTTATCTAAATATTCGGCTAAGCACCAGCAGCTGAGCGGTAAGGATCTTTACATTGGTAGTTAACACCTGGAATCAAATGTCGGCAAACCTACAGATTACAAAGGAGTTCTCATCGTTATTTAAATCGGCTTCTTATTTCGTTATACATTGGGAGCATATACAAAGTGAATATAAGCTAATTTCTTCGAAGATGTTTTTCCAAAAAGGCATTTTTTTCTTTAAGCAGGTACTTTAAGCATATATATATGTAGTATTTTAGGTACGTAGGAGGAATCCGATACTTAAACTGCTGTGGATAGTCGAGTGGAAAGGGAAAAAGAAGATATTGACACAAACCAAGTCCAGCTAATAACCATCTTTATTTCTAGGCACATTAGAATCATATTCGTAGACAATATACTTTTTGATCATAAATTATTACAATAATTTCTCATAGACACAGGTAAAAGCGGTTGACATCAAGCAGAGCAGTGGGGAGATTTTCGGCAGTGGCGGAAGCTAAGAAAGAAATGACGTAATTACTTCTAAGCGGCATGTATACCAAGAAGATGCAGAACGTACTCGAAGCTGTGATTGGTTAATTTTTTGTTTTAATTACCTTTTTCAAGTAGCGTTATGTAAGATGGAAAGATCTGGAATTTGGGAGAACAGATGAACTTACGGGGAGAGCATAAAATCTAGAATGGTTAACTTTATTATCGCCAATTATTTCTTAAAGTAGCCATCGTATTTTTTTTATATCTTACACACACACACACACACACACACATATATATATATATATATATATGATATTTTAATGCATAGTCGCGATGGCTGAGAGGAAAGACGACCAGATGACGCCGACACAAATGAATTTTGAAGAAATCTCAATCTTTATTTTCACGCATTTGAAACCGTCTTAGTAAGCATTTATCCAATCATAATGAATTACAATAATTTCTTATATACACAGGTTGACAGAGGTGACATCACTTTGCACGGACAAACAGAGCAGCTGGGATATCTTATCAGTGGCTAAGCTAAGTAAAGAATGATGTAATTTCTTGCGAGCGGTACTTTTACCGAAGTAGATGCAATTGTGGAGACAAGCTATTATTGTTTAATTTTAGTATTAGTTACCTTTTTCAGTCAGTGTTATGTAAAATGGAAGGATATCGAATTTGGGACGACAGATGAATTTAGGGTTAGACCACCAAATCTGGAGTAGTTAATTTGCGGCCGCCAATTATCTTTAAAGCAGCCATCGTGTTTTGTTATATCTTACTAGTCGACAGGATACATATCCTGTTGTCCAAATTCCAATGGAAAAGTCATCAAAATGCCTACGTTAACTGACCACCTCTTCAAATCTTCGATGGTGTAACGGAAATTCATAATGGATATCAAGTATCTGCAAATTTAAAAATCTAAAAGAGAAAAATAAAAAATATGTAAAAGAGTAAATTAGAGCTTAAATTAATTTTCCTTCTGTATTCTAAATATAGTAATCTATCTGCACTGTGTCATTTCGAGATTAATCCATGTCATATGACTCTTACATAATTCTGATGCTGTAAATGGAACTCAAATAGCCAATAGTAATGTTATAGCAGTATTAATTATCCAATAAAAATGCATTGAGAACTAAACCTAACTCAGTCTGAATTAAGATTTCACCCTGAACATAACTCATTAGCTTTCTACGCTTTGGCCTGGTTGGACTACAGTCTGTCTGCTCCTTCTTTCTTACTGCAAGACTTCTTTCTTACTACTTTCTTACTTTTTTTTTTCTTACTGCATCAAAAATATAAACTTTTGGAATAGGCATAAATAACGTGCCAACTTGTTTGTGACTGCAACATGTTTGCTGAAATAAAAGCTGAATTAAATCTACTTCGACTGCTAAATTTCTTATTCATTGTGGAATGGAGTTTCAACATCTCTAAGCCATCAAAATCCTCGCTGTTCATTACGGATTCCACCGCCTGCGTTTTACAACAAAATCTATTAGATAGTATATACATATATTAATTATATATATATATATATATATACATGGTTTTAATAGGATTTTGTGTTCCTTGCAGATAATATATAAAATACTTATCTAATAATAATATGTATACATGTATTAATTATTAATTTCGATTTTTTCCTTGGAAACGAAGAGAAAAAATATCGTATTCAGATAATTATTAAAGGTCATTCTTGGAAATTTGAGATTAAACTATGTAAAATAAAACTTAGTAGAAGTATTAAACAGTATTTGAATTCATAATAGGACAATATCCAAAAAAATGCAAATTGAAATATAATTAATTCTTGTTGATCCCATGGAAAAAGGTGGAATTTTAAATACAGTTTTTAAATTGCTAGACATAACATTTTAGTTTAACAAGAGACAAAGGGTTTAATTTTAATTTTTACTTACACCTAATACTTTTGCAATGGCGTCTAGTTGTTCATTGTTCTATTCGAAAAGGACTTTGTTTCAAACAACATGCAAGGGAGCAAGTTTGGAGAGAATATGTTACTAGGCTCACTTCCATCTGCTATCCACGTACTATTCTTAACTAGAATCTGTTAATATATAGAAAATATATTAGCGATTCTAAATTCATGAGAAAATTTTAAGAAAAAAGGCATTCTGATTTGTTGTTGCCTAAGATAAATCAAAATTGTACGTGAGAGGGTGGAATTGCCGAAAAATATATTTTCTCTTTAGCAGTTTTCAGGAGATTAATGGTAAATTAACTAAGAGTAAACACTGATACAATTAGTATTATTTCTGGCTGAAAGTCAAGAAAATAGAGAGTGTGTACAATAAAACTGAGCATTGAAATACAAAATATATAAAACTTTAAATCTGAGAAATATCCTGTCTTACCCTCCTTTTGGTTTCCCACAAGTCAATCGCCACTTATTATTTTAAAGACTGAAATTAAAATCAGAATTTGTGTAAGTAAAATTAGTTAATCCTTTTAAGTAATATTTTTTTTATTTTATTTATTTGATTAATTATTGCGTTTCCCGTAACTTTTCTTGATAACTTCGTGTGCCAATTAGTTTAATAGTTGTAAATTTAAAATATGCTCTTTTATTAAGAAGTTTAATTTAAGTAAAGACTTTTAGATCTAGGTAACCACTTTCTTATTGACTGGTATTAGTCTTGTTAAGCAGGATGGGTAAATTTAGAGTTTTTCTGTAGACTCAAAATTATTGATAGTAATTATATCATCTATATATGTGAAAGTATTTACAAAAAAATTTTAATTAGTTTTATCCAGTGACTACTAAAATTCAGGTTATTTTCTAAATAAGTAGAGGTTACAAGTCTGTGTCGAGAAGTTCGTTCCCATTGGGATCCCATTTGTTTGCTTAAAAATAGTGTCGTTAAATTTAATAAAGTTGTAAAAAAGTACACAGTTGAGGAAATCCTTCTATTTGTCTTCTTCTAAAAGTGTAAGCATTTCAGGAAATAAATTTGTAAGTAATAGTAAATTTATTTCAGTAGCAAAGGAATATGTATGTTTTCAAAATCACAACAATTAATTTCTTCAATTTCGAGATTTTTAACTGCAGAAATAACTGGTATGCTAGTATTAATGATTCAATAAAACCTGCGGTTTTTGCTAGATAAATTTAAAATAATACAACTAATCTTTTTAAACTGAACTGCAAATAAGTAGTCATTAGTCTTCTTAGAATTTTAGTTCCATTAGCAATAAATGTGAATTTAATTCGTGTTGTATGGTATTTTTGCAGAGCATAAATGTTAGCAAAGCTTTTGTAATCACGTGGAACAAAAATTTAAAGTTTGCGGTTAAAGTTTAGTTTGTTGACAATTCATACTTTTTTAGTAAGTGATTGGTTGATTAAGTTCTGCTTCAAATAGTTGCCTGTAAAACGGGTTTTATAGAAAACTGAAATTATTACTGGGATTATCCCATTTAGGTTATTGTAAGTTTTTGCCTAATGTCTTGTATTTTATATTGTCTTGTATTTATTGCCTTATCTAATTTGGTTGTCGTAAATTTCTGTTATAAATTCCTTTATTTTGCTTTTAATGCTTTTATTGTTTTTAATACTTGTTTGCTTAATTTCTTGTATTTTGTTACATATGTGTGTGTGTGCGTCTATATCTATAGACACACCCACATGCATTGATGCTTTCCCCTGCCATTAAACTTAGCACTCCAATATTCTAAAGAAACATTGCTAATACTATTGTCAACCAAATTCATTAGATTATATACACCTGTGGAGATATATCTGATTTTCAAAACGAAATAGGTATACTCGTTTACACACTTTAAGAAAATGGTGTTCCGAAATCTTTTATTAATTTAAAAAAAGCCATTAATTGCAGCCCTTAAAGTTATGCATGGAGCGTTAATTTAAACCCATAGGGGGATTAATTGCCGCTTCTTAATTTTATATACTTTTATAAGCTAAAACCCTTTTATTAAACAGGCCATCTCTTTTTCAAAACTCCATGTGGCCGAACAGAGCGAGTGCTTTAGTTATGTCTGTTTCTTTATTTCTGTTTCCTACTGCCACTTTACTAATACCAGATCCAATTATACAAAACTATTAAAAAAAAAAAAAAAAAAAAACTTTGGATGTAATATAAAAGCTTTCAAAGGAGCATTTTTTAAAATTTTTTTAACGTTATTTATTAAATATCATGTTCTTCGCTCTTAAACCATGAAATTCAATTCAACAGCAATATCACAAATTTATTTATTACATTATTTTTTAAATGTCCACTACTCAGACTTACATAAAAATATGCGCTACTTGCCTGAATATCCCATTATGAGTATACAAATGCTGCTTTTTTTTTTTTTTTAAATATGTTGGAAAGGTTGGAAGTGGCAGCATAATTTTTTTTTTTTTCAGATAGTGGCAGTTTTCCGAAAAATGTAGTCCACCCGACTGTTAAAGATATTCA